TGGAATTGGAACAACAATATCAATATTACAGTTAATAAAAATTAAACGAATTCAAAAATATATTTAATTTAGACGTCAATATTACAGTATATAAAAATTGAACAAAATCAAAAATATGTATACATTATTGGGCAAAAATTTGTGAATAATGGTAATTTGGCTCAACTGGGCAAATGATTGGCTGACATGTGCCACGAAGCGGCATGTGTCAGACAATCATTTGTCCAGTTGAGCCAAATTACCGTATTCACAAATTTGCCCAATAATGATGTTATCTGACAATTTATGATCATAGCGCCCGAAAATTCTCCCTCTCTATAAATAATTTTAGATCTGAAAAATTTATTGCAGATTAGTATTTAAATCAATTTTTTTTCAAAGAGAAAAAAAAAAAATTAGAAGCAATACATAGAATATATATTTTTTTTTTAAGCAAAAAAAAAATCTTTTTTTAAATACTTTGACATTCTTTTAAGTCTTGTGTGAAAGTTAGAATTCGTGTGGTGGTAGTTGGAAGTATAGTTGGTGGAAGTGGAAGGTCTTGTCGTTGATTGTGTTGGAAGTTTAATTGAAAGCCGCTAGTTGTAATTATAGGAAGGTATTTCAATTTTAAGGGTATAATCAACCTGTAAAGTTTATAAAACTCGTGAAGCCTTTTAAAGCCATAAAAGCTACTTAAATTAATAACAATAAAGCTTATTTGAGGCAAAACGCTCATCTGAAGCTGAAAATCAAAGCTAAAGCCACAAGCTACTTGGAATTTATAAAACCCACCTAAAGTCAATGCAAAAACAAAATCAGCAAAAAAAAAGTCAGCAAGGCAAAGGTGGGGTAATATTTTTTTTTGTTTTTTTTTTTACACAAATAAAAATGTATTAATACAGTTTTCTATTAGCGAGTTAAATACATAGAGCCTTCTGCGAACGACTTTAAGAAAGTTCGGGATAATGCTAAAGTTAAAGCAACTCACAAGGCAACTGAAATGTGGATCAGGGCCCTAGAAGAGTTTCGCTCTGATGTTGGTTATGAAGGAAAGATTGAAAAAGTCGATACGAAAATGATCCTTGAGGATCAGCTAGCTAAATTTGTTTGCGCAATGAAACAAAAGGATGGGGGAAGAATATTGTACAACCTCCATAAGAAGTTGCATGGCAGCAATCTGGAGGCATCTCAATACACATTCAGTAATGGAAAAGCCTATTGATATACTTAATCCAAAAGTATATTTCGATCTCAACCAAGTAATCAATAGAAAGTTAAAAGATCTTTCAGCAAGTGGTTTAGGTGAACATGTTGGAGCCGATGGACTTACAATGAATGAGGTTGAGCAAGTCTTGGACCACCCCATGATGCAATGTAATTCACCAGAAGGCTTGTTATGAAGAATTTTTTTTTATAATGCAATGCTGTTGGCATTACGTAGGGGTGAACATTATATATTACAAATTAACAGTTTTGTTAAAAGGTTTGATGGCAGAATTGATGTCAAATTGTATAGATCAAAAACCAATCAATGAGGATTGGAGGACTATGATGCATAGGCTGAAGTTATCAGCTTGCTCAATATTAAAAGTATCGTTGATAATTATGAGCTTTATTTCACCAAACGTCCAATGGCAACCGTGACGAACTTTTATCTAAAGCCAATGAGTTCAGATTCGGGTAAATATTGGTTTTTTTCTTGTATTTAAGTGTTTCTTTATTAATTTTTATTTTATTTATTAGTAGAATTTAGTAGCAAATGGTATTATGCTCATGCTTTGGGCGAACAAAATTTAAGAAAATACTTTAGGGTCATATGTGAAACTATGGGTATTCAAATTGGAACCCGTAATATCTCAAATCATTCTGAAAGAAAAACTGCTATACAATTGTTAAAGGAGCTTGGATACTCCGATTCGGTCATGATGTCAATTATGAGACATAAGTCTTAAAAAGGTCTCGCTGCATACAAATATCTGAAATCAGTAATGCAGCATGAAGGTCTAAGTAGTTTTTTTAATGCATTAAAACAAGTTTCAAAAGGTAAATTTTGTATTTATTTGTTAAATTGTTAAATTTGATTTTTGCTAATTTATTTTTTGTACAAAGCCCCTGGTAACCATGTTAACGAAGCCCCTGGTAACTACGATAATGAAGAAGCCCCGATGACTATAATAATTCTGAAAGTTATTGTAAAGTGGCTCCAATAGCTGGTGATTTTGCACTTGCAAGTTCATACATTCGACGGACCGATTCCTAGATGTCGTTGGTAAACGCATTCGAAGATCTTGAAGTAATTCCCAATGAATCAAGTAATGTACTGGCTGAGCATGACCAAAACATTCTTGAAATGGATCTTCTAAAAAATAAAACTAAAGCCGTTGAAAAGGATGAACATAAAAGAAAGGGTGTTGAAAATTTAAAAAAAAATAAAGAATTTGTTGAAAAGTTTCTTACAGACAATACTTTTAACAATTGCACTTTTAATTTTTAGAAGTAATTAGATTGAAATTTTATATTTGAATTGTAAATTCATTTGCTGATAGTTAATTATAAGAATTTTAAGTATTTCTGGCCCAAATATTGATTTTATGCCGAATAATATTGACCCGAGTATTTTGATATTTGTGCAAAATTTGAATATTTGGCACTATGTCATAATACGTTAAAAAATAACAGTACAATGCTGCGCCATGATCATATGAGTTTGTCGGATAAATTTAATTTAGACGTCAATATTACAGTAAATAAAAATCGAACAAATTCAAAAATATATTTAATTTATGACGTAGATATTATATTTTTTATATACCGATCATGCCGAAAAAATTACCGGCCGAAAAATTTTTCGGCAAGTTTTTTTATAGGTGTCCCAGGAATAATGAAAATAGCTGTAATATATTAGCCCTAAAATTTTGAGTCGGGTCGAGTTCGGTTCGGGTTGAAGCTGTAACCCGAAAATGTTCAACCCGACCCGACCCGAAATATCGGGTCGGGTTCGGGTTGGCTCATACCCGACCCGTTCGGAGCATTCTTTCAAAGTTTAGGCACCTTAAAAAAAGAAGCTGCGGCCAATAGCTTTTATTAAATATTTTTTCGACAACCCGCTATCCAAATTCGATCAAATTTTTTATTTTAATTCTAATAACTAATAGAATTAAAATAAAAAATTTTCGTCAAATTCTGATGGTTGTCGAGGAATTTTTGTTTAAAGCTCAAACAAGAAAAAATTTACCCAATTTGGTTATTTTAAGTTTTTTTTTTTCTACTTTTAACATTGAATTGAAATAAATTTTTTTATTGAATTTGATCAAGTAGCTATTGGGTAATCATCGCTAGAAGTTTTGAAAAACTTTCTAATAGGATCTGTGCCACATGATCTGCATAACCTGGCACAGAATTCAAACGTGCCATACGTATCATCAAAATTTAACAAATACGTATCGGTATCGATATCGATATATGATATTTTCTAAAATAGGGAAAAATGACTAGCCAAAAGGTTGAACGGTATCATCTCTCCACATTGCATGTGATCGTACTGGCATTTTTTTCACACACTTATAAAAACAAATACTTACGTATTTTGTTTTCGGACTTTCATATAATAGTATGACTTAAAGTAGTATGTTTTGATTAAAAATTTTACATGTTACAGTAAATTTTTACTGTAATATTATTCGATAAAATTAGCGAAATTTATTTTAATCGTCCACACGAGTTTATTTACTAAAAAAAAACTTGAAAGGTTAAAAATCAGAAGAGCAAAATGTTAGTATTAAACATCGAAAGAATCATTTAAAAAATTTTTTAATCAATATGTAATCATTGCGAAAATAATATTTGAGAAATGATTTAATTTTTAATTGCGTGCATTAGATGGCTACATGAAATTTTTAGCCACCCCGATTAGTAATGTAATTGGTTTCGTCCAATGGAATACGATGTTTGTATTCGTCCTGTGGGAAATTGGTGGGAAATTAGTAAACTCGTTTTTGGGGTGTTTTGACCAATTTTCTAAAGTTCTCGAATAATAAAATTTCATCCGAGTATAGCCAATAATCTATCCGGGTATGATTGGCATTTTTCTGAGTATTTTAACAACCAACCAAAACAAACTTCTGCTATGCTTTTGAAATTTCCTAAATTATTGACTTTAATTCCACAAAGTCGGTGGGCACACAATAATGACTATTGTGTCGTATCTAATTGGCTGGTGTTTAGAAAATAATCGATAGATACAGAAGTTGAGAAATATTATCGGAAAGATTCAAATATATTAATTTTAATTTTGGGCGTGCCTATATGACCTATCATAGGTCATTTAGTCATTACGAGGGTACATGACTTGACTTTATGCCTTTTTAATATACAGTCAGACTTCCCCTAAATGCAACTCCCCTAAGTGCACGTTCTATGAAAAGCCTCCCGAATGCACGTCTTCTCTTGGTCCCAACCAATATTACACCTATAGATTTTACCTCCTTAAATGCAATACCTCTCTAAGTGCACGTTTGGCTAAATTTTTACATATGGTCCCGTCGCATTGCATTTAGAGAGGTCTGACTGTAGTAAGAATCATAGTAAAAAATTGGCCAACACTAGCCTGCTTTAACTCTTAACCTAATTCTATGACTCAGTTTTTATAATAGAATGGTGATAATCACCGCCGGTTAGTAAATTTCTAATTTATTTTTTATAATTAATATAAACATATTCCCTAATTCAAAATAACAAATTTCACAATATAAAATTTGTTTTTTTTTCTTCTTCGATATTGATTTGGATCACAAGACCGAGTTTTCATAATTGGAATTATGAAAGTATCGTGCATGACAAATAAATAATGATCATACAGCTTTCGTGATTTAAATTACTATTTTAGTCAATGTTTTATTTACAAACTTAATTATATAATAATTTAAATTACGAAAAACTATTATTGATACAAAAATTACAACATTTACAAAAATTACGTTACTTACAAAAATTACAGTATTTACAAAAATTGCTGTAATTCAATAATAGTTATAAATTGCATGATCAATTAAGCTATTACTATTTTTGAAAAAAATCGTATGACTTATCTAAGATATCACTATTTACATATAATAAAAATCATAATAATTTTATTATTAAATCTCTTCAAACTTGTTTTTATTAATATAATCGACGAACTAGTTTCTGCAAATTTATCTTTAAACATGTCAAACCAAAGTGATACGTATTCAGAAAAACAAAATAAATCACTAAACCGAAAAAGTGCAGGTCGCCCAAAAGAAAAAATTTGGGATTATTATACGTATAACAAGTAATGATATTAACGATCGTAGTGCGACTTGCTATTATTGTCCAAAGTATTGGAGCTATGGACGTCCTGCAGAAACGGAAGCACATCTTGCAAACATTTGTCTAAATAAAGTTATTAATTACAAACGAACAAAAAGTTCAAATCAAAAACAATTAAATCAACATGATCTAATTATGCTTTATATCATATGTACATACGTACATAGTTTAAATATTTAAATAAACTTCGGGCTTTTAAGACCACAATAATTATTAAAAGTGCAAATATATAATTAATTTTGGTTTTTTTGCTTTTATAATACCCAAATTAATTTAATTAAGTTTGCAACGCTAGTCACGGTGCTTCGCGATACACATGTGACTAGTGATCAGGTACGAATGTCGTAATCTAATTAATGCGTAATCCATATCGGGTTCACGATTTAATTAAAAGATAAAATAATGTTTGCATGAACGATGAACAAAGTATGCAATAATCAGTGACGCTAACATGTATTAGTAATTAATATTTAAGGCATCGATCGTAAATGGGAGATACCAGGAAGTTCTTTGATCCGAATTACTTTGAGACTCTCTTAGTGAATAAACGGTTATCTGTGTGAGCATATTATTGGTGGTAGTATCTGGTACGATATTCCAGTCACCGTATATATTAGCCAAGCGAGTAAAGACTGATAATAAAGGTCAACAAATACACGATAGTCTGATAAACTCCGTGGCATGTATCAACTTCATATTAATTATGCTCAAGCAAGAATATATTGTTTCATTTTTCAGATTCATTTTTTGTAATATTATTACTAAAAATACTCAATAGCATCATGCTTATTAGTTTAAAATGTTCGTGCATGTAAACAATAAAGATGGTGTTCTTTAATCAAATCTTCTCATTAAAACTAAAGCTTAGAATAGACTATACAAAATAGAAATAAATTAGAAATAACTCCTTTGTTTAGTAATACAGTTAGACCTCTCTAAATGCAATGCGACGGGACCATATGTAAAAATTTATCCAAACTTGCACTTAGAGAGGTATTGCATTTAGGGAGGTAAAAAATCTATAGGTGTAATATTAGTTGGGACCAAGAGAAGACGTGCATTTAGGGAGGCTTTTCGTAAAACATGCACTTAGGGGAGTTGTATTTAGGGGGGTCTGACTGTATGAAAAATGTAACTGAATGACATTACAATTGAATCTTTTCTTTGCTCGGTAAATCTTGGAATTTTTATTTTTTTTTGCTCCGTAATACAATTTATGAGAATTTTTTATATAAACAGGCTTTTTCTATCCACTTCACCTCATCAAAATTTACTTCGATCAAATTAAATTTTGAGAATCATCAAAACTAAAAAAGCTCTAAACTCCTTCTAAAACAAAAAAGAAAAGAAAAAATGAATATGAAAATTACATACTTCGTTCTTGCATTAATATTCCTCTTTATTACCATCAAAGAGTCAAATGCTGCAAGAATTCCTCAAAATTCTCAAAGAGATGTTAATCCTTTGCTCAATAATTATGTTGTTGCAACATCACCAGTTAATCCCGTGCTTAAACATGGCAATAATTATGTCGTTGCAACATCAGAATATAACGATAACAATGGCGTGACCGGTCTCATTACTTTCGCCCAAGACGTTAATAGTGATAGAACCTTTGTCAATGGCCTTTTCTCAAGTGGCTTTGATGAACAAGAGAAAGGTCGTTATGGTCTCTTTCTCAGAGATTGTGATGACAATGTTATCTATAATTTGACAGGTGAATTATGCTTTGATGGCCATAGTGGTATTAAACCATTTCAAGATTATATTCACCTTAACCTTTCCAAATATTTATTCGATGAAGACAATTCGAAACGCCAAGGTGGGACTAAGACTGGTATAGATTGTACTTGTAATTCTGATGCCTCCGCTAGTGCTACTCCAGTGCCTTAAAAAATATAATAGGAAAATTAACTAATTTTTTGTATTATGTTCCTAATATAATTTAATTCGCTTTATTATTATGGACTCATTTATTAATTTACAAAGTTATTTTAATGTTGATAAAGCAAAATTCATAGTGATAGTGCCAGATAAATTATTTTTGGTCACAAATAATGTTTATTAAATATTTTTTAGTCAAAAAGCATGTTTATTAAATATTTTTCTAATAAATTTAATTTGTTTTATTAACAACTATTTTTATACAAAAGCTTCAATAATATGAAACAGAGATACTATATCTATAATAATGTTATTTGTAGCATCTTTATAAACGAATATAATTAAAAGTATCTGTAAATATTCGACATGAATATATTATTAATAGATACCATAAATAACTAAAAAAGGTATGTATTAAAAGTTATATATATAATCTTTGAGAAACTGTAAGCGAATAGGGTTTATTTTTGCCAAATGCCAGAGTAGAACGGTAATTTACCTAATAAATTACCTATAAAATTTAATCTTTACTAGTTCTATGATCAGATTGGTCAAATTGATTCATGACTAGAGGCGTTTTGTATTATAACAACACATTATAATTTACAAAAAATTATAATTTTATATTAGACTATAAAATTTTTTATAACAGGCTAATATTAAAATTTAAATTCATTTTGCTATATTTAGAATTTAATTTAAAGATTATTATGTACAAGCAAAAATTAAACTTATTCTAATAATTTATACTGCATATTATAAAATAAATTTTATAATTTATTACAAATTAATTTTTTAAATTATATAAAATTAATTCTTTTCTCTAAAAATCATCTTTATTATAAGTTTTTTAATAGTATTTTTTATTAATTTGTATATTTAAAATGCTACATTATTTCAAGTGTAAATGCACTATAAAAACGTGTTTTATTTTTTTGTCAATAATTTTCTAAATATAGTTATAAAACCTTTTTTTCAAAATTTTGTTTTTTCAACATACACACGGATCTTTTATCCAATTATATACAAAAAAATAATTGAAATATGTATATTATGAAGTAAGTCTAGCACATATAAGTAGATTGTGCCTATTATGTGATGTATATAGAAGAGTTGTGTAATTAGATAGTCTAATTATGATTGTACAGTACGTATGTAATATTACATTTTGATTTTTCAAATATTGCCAATAATTTCAATGTGTCATATTTAGATACGTATCACAAAATTAACACAAACAGCCACACAATACATTTCATGTATTATGAACTCTGTCATGCAAGCTCATGCGAGTTATATCTAAGAATTCATTTTAGATTATATGCTAGAAAGTTTATTAAATTTTTGGGAAAAGCTACCGACACAGCATCACGTGACAAAAATTTTAATAACTTTGAGCTAAGTTAACTTACAACCACCCAACCAAATTCGATGAAATTTTTTTTAATTTTAATTCTACAGAATTGTAGAATAAAAACAAAAAAGACTTCATTGGATTTGATAAGATGATTGTCTAGTTATTTTCGGTCAAAGTTTTACAAAAATTTAAAACGGCTATCAAAATAACAGTTGTGGCGAAGATAACTCGGCAACCACCCAATCAAATTTGATGAATTTTTTAATAATGTCTTTATAGAATTGTAAATAATAATAATAATAATAAATTCATTGAATTTGATTAGACGATTGCCAAGTTATTTTCGCTCAAAGTTTAAAACGCCTATCAAATAATAGTTGCAGCGAAATTTTTATAAAACTTTGAGCGAAGATAATCTGGCAACCTCCCAAAAAATTCGATGAATTTTTTTTATATTAATTCTATAGAATGTAGAATAAAACAAAAATTTATTGAATTTGATTAGATGGGTGCAAAGTTATTTTTGTTAGTTTTTTGTATCTATATTCTGATAGGCGTTTTAAATTTTCTAAGACTTTGAATCAAGATAACTCGTTAACCACTAACCAAATTCGATGATTTTTTTTCTTTTTATTCTGCAGGCTCAGTAGATTCAAAATAAAAAAAAAATTATCGATTTTTAATGTGTGGTTGCTAAGTTATTTTCGCTCGAAGATTTAAATATCTTCTAAGGCGATAAGTCACGTGTTGCTGTGTCGGTAGCTTGATCGAATATTTGAACTCACGTGAAATATAATATATTATGTGAAATTGCGAGCATGTCATTTTACACGAGGTACATCTCTAGATACAACAGAAAATCAGATATTTTGAATACAGAATATTTTTCATTTGATTATCCGTGTGGAAACAGATTCTGAATTGTCGAATTTACAGGTATAATAGTCAAATTTTATTAGAATCAACTTATGATTTACCCATTACTTAACGTTATATATTTACCATTTATTGTGTACTTCCGAAATTAAGTACCATTTTTTGCATGTATTGCTGGCCACGATCATTATGATGTAGTCCAAAATTGATATAGTGCGGGCCATAATACTTATTTTCGGGGCTTAATTTCGGATGTATCATTTAGTGACGCAAACGGCTCGACTCACGGCTTGCATTGACCAAGCTGAGCCGATCTTTCGACTCCAAAGGTCAGAGCCAAGCCGTTTGTGAGCCTATTAACCTCGAGCCGCAACCCTATATAAGCAAACTAGGCAGTGTTAGTTACGACAATTACTGCCCGGTTTATATTTTATATTGAACTTCACTCATATTTAACGATCTGTTATTTAAGTCTAATCATATAATTTAAGTATTAAAATACATGCTATTAATTTTTAGCAGCACAGCCTTTAATTAATACCAAGCCTGATCCGATTACTTATTTAGCTGATATTTGACATATAGTTTAGAAATAGTGCGCAATTTACCTTTTTTTTTTAGCAGAATGTTTGTCGTTTACTATTGGACGATGGTCATGTGATACAAATTAATCGGCTCTCGGCTCCATATCGGCTTTAAGGGTCTAGAGCTGAGCCATTTTAGAGCCGATGCTTTATTAGTAAACCCAGAGCCGTTTGGCTTGGCTCAAGCCGTTTGCATCACTAGTATCATTTATAAATTTAATTACCTGATAGCAATTTAATCACATGATAACAGCAATGAATTAAAACTGAGAATGTTTGACAAAAAACAGATACGCAAAAAAGAAACTGCCCGGCAAGGTTAAAATTTATTCGATGTAACAAATTAAAATGAAAATTTTCGCGGGAATACAAATATAATTTTCTATATACACATAAATATAAGGGAGATAGGGTATTGTGGTCAAGTAAAAAAATATTCTGTGATAATAATCAGAATTAAATGATTTTTGCACCATTCGATTCGTCTCAAAGAGACGAATCGAACGGTGCAAAAATCATTTAATTCTGATCATTGGATCACAGAATATTTTTTTACTTGACCACAATTATACATGTGTGTAAATTGCCGTAAGGGAGCTATCACTTATTACATAATTATAGCCCCCCTCCAGAGTCAGTTATTTGACAATTACAAGTTCTAAAGTAATTATAATATAAACTCTATACG